GGGCAGGACAGGGTCGCGCTGAGTAGCCGAGCAGCAGGTGGCACAACGATTAGGCACTCAGCTGCTCTCTGCAAGGTCAACGGTTCGAACTCACCAGCTGCTCCCAGGGAGGAAGCTGTGAGGGTCAGCTTCTGTCTGACCCTCACAGCTTCCTCCAAGACAGTGGTGCTCAACTGTGGGTCGCGACCCCTTTGGGGGTCACCTGATTTGTAACTTGCGTATGGGCTGGGAAACTCCCATCCAGGGGTCTTTTTCCAAAAGGGCTGAGAATCCCAGGTGGCAGCTGGATCTCTTTCCACGCGTACACCAAGGCCTACCAAGAAGGGCGAAAGGCATCCTGCCCTTCCATGCCACTGAAGCATATCAGAAAAACCATGCTGTGTGTCACGATTTGGGGGCAGTGTTTGTGGGGGGAAACGGTTGGCAACCACCTCCACATCTGCCCCCAAGGGAAGAAAACCAGCTGCTGCTGAATCGGTTCTAACTCATCGCAACCCTTCTGGATCAGAGCAGAAACGGGCCTGCACAGGTTCCCAAGGCTGGCAACAGAAGCAGGAAGCCTCCTCTTTTTCCCACGGAGCAAGCTGGAGGGCTACAACCACAGACCTTCTGGTTGGCAGCCCGATGGTTCACCGGCTACACCGTCAGGACTCCCCTAAGCATGCGGGGTGGCGTGGGGTCATGAACAGGCTGCAGCGGCGCCCGCATGTAGATGGGTGAGGACTGGTTTTGAGCAGTACTCAGTGGGGTGCTCCGAGGGGGATCAGCAGGCCTGCCCTCTGTGGAATCCAGCAAAGGAGCCAACATGCCATCAATGGTTGTGGGTGCTCAGATAGTTCTGGGAGGAGTTACAAGATCCCAGGGAATCCGTGGAGGAAGAGAACCGGGGCTGGAGGTGCCCTTCGCTTCTAGATTTGCCACCGAGGCTGCTGGTTCTGACGGGGCTCAGGGGAAGCCAGGGGTTGGGGGAGGGTGGGGCCACAACTTTTAAGAAAGACCTCCGGGTTTGGTCTGTGAGGGAGAAGAAGTAGTGGAGGAGTCTGGGATAATGGAATCACCCAGGAACGTGCCAGCGGCTGTCTTGGAAACACGCACCAAGCAAACATGTAGACAGAAGCTCCTCACTCTAACGACACTCTGCATGAGGCTTTCAGCGGCTTCCTCCTCCCAAGTGGGGAGCTGAGTCCTCCTTCGTTCTTCGTCTGGAAGCTGTGCTGAAATCTGCCCACTTTGCGTGACCCTGCTGGCATTGGGATACCAGTGACGTAGAGTACAGCGTCACAGCCAAGCACGAGCCACCACAGGGCGGCAGACAAGGCGTGGTCCGGCCAGAGCGCCCCTCAGACAAGGATGGTGCCGTAAGATCTATAATCATCGGTCAATTTGAGGATTCAGAGTGAAGGGGTAGAGTCTAACCTGTCAATCAGGTAATCACACAGCCAACGAGGTCTCTGGGTAGACATGGCCTTCTCCTGAGGATTCTGGGAACTCCTGTATTCCTTCCTGGAGGCAGGAGACTCTCTTAGCTCACTCCCTGAGAGACTCTCTACTGGCAAGACACACGGAACTACGCTAGTGCCCTGAGCTGGAACAGCCACATGCAGACCCCTGCCAGTGCTAGATCCACCACCACTGGATCCACAAGACTTCCCGCCCACTGGCCTGTGATCTTGGTGCATTCAGCGTCATTGCATGCGTTTTGTGAGTCTGAAGGACTTTATAGCTTGGCATCGGACATATGGGCTAATATCGGACTTATGGACTAGATCTGGAGCGGGTTGGGATGTTTTTTTCAATATTCAATTGTTCTTGTCTATAAAATCCTTTCTTATGTACATGAGCATGTCTATGAATTTATTTCTCTAGTCTACCCAGACTAACACAGATGACAAGACCATCTTACATACTTTGAAATATCGTCGGGAGAGACCAGTCTCCAGAGAAAGATATCATGTTTGGTCAAGTGGAGGGGCAGCAAGAGAGAGGAAGTCCCTCCCTCGAGGAGATGGATAGACTGACGCCGCGGCTGCACCCACGGGCTCAGGCACAGGGACCGTTGTGAGGAGGGCGCAGGGCCGTGTTTGTTCTGTTGTGCAGGGTCGCTATGGGTTGGAGCTGACTCGATACACCTAACAACACACATTCTAACAGTTTCACCGACGTCATAACCCGCTTTACTCCCAATGGCCCCGACAAGGGGTGTTTTCATCTCCATCGCAGGGGCCCAGAGAGGTAAAGCCCCTTGTCTTACAGTGAGGAAGGGAGAACCCCTGTCCACACGTGGCCTTCCCTGACAGTGTGGAGCGTTACACGTTGCGCTGCTGATCACAAGGTCAGTGGTTTGAACCCGCCGGTCTCTCAGCAGGGGGAGAGAGGAGGAAGCCGTCTGCTCCCGTGAAAGACCGATAGCCTCGGATACCCAACCTAGGGCATTCCGAGTTGGAGCCATCTCAACGGCAGTGGGTTTGGTGTTTGGGTCCTGGCACCTAACACCATCACCACAGCACCAGCCCAGGAGGCAGCCTGGGGGCGCAGGGCTGAAAGACCCGACTGTGGATGGGAAGTCAGTGGTTCAAATACATCAGCTGCTCCCAAGGAAGAAAAATGGGGCATTCTGCTTCGGGAAAGACCACAGCCATTTAGAAGCCCCGGGAGGCAGTTGGACTCTGGCCTAGAGTCTTTAGATGTCAATCAACTCCAGGGTGATGGGTAGCAGCCCTAGGATGCACACTGTGCTCACCTCCATTTCCTAAATAATGCAGGCACTGTGCTCACCTTCATTTCCCAAATAGGAAAAAGAGAAGGGAAGTGACCGGCCCAAATTCACGCAGCGAGTGGGCTGCGGCTGATACGCTAAGCTCCGTCGCGGGTGAGCAGACAGGGTTAGTGGTTGTGGCCGTTACGTCATCTCCTGTCAACTTCAGGGAAGAGGTGGAGTCTAGCCTGTCAACCAGGTCGCAGCTTGATGACCTCATGTGGAGGCGCGACGGAGATAAACAGCTCGCGGGAGGCCAGACCCACTCACTCTGTCTTCCCTTGTCTGCTGCTGAGCCACTCAGAGAGCTGGAGGCAGCTGGAGGAGGCTCCTGGAGACCCAGGCCAGCGCTGAGATGCTCCCACCATGCTGGATCCACAACTTTCTACCCACTGGCCTGTGATCTTCCTGCTTTCGGCATCATTGCATGTGCTACGGGAGTCTGAAGAAGAGTTTATGGACTAGTATCCAACATGCGGGCAAATACTGGACTTACAGACTTGGATGTTTTCTCAATATACAACTGTGCTTTGATAGATAGCCCTTTCTTATACACATATGAGCATCTATGAGGTTGTTTCTCTAGCCAAGCCTGACTAACACAGTTGTTCAACCACGAGCCAGGAGGTTGGAAGTTTGAATGCAGTCAGATGCACCTCGGGAGGCAGGCACCTTGCTCCCCAAAGGTGATGCCCTAAAAACCCTGCGGAGCAGTTCTCTGCATGCAGGGGTGGGGTCGCCATGAGTCAGACCGACTAGATGGCCACTTGCAGCGTGTGAGCACAAAGCATTGGTAACTCACCGCCTTGGCAGAGCTTTCTTGCAGGGCAGGCCTAGCATGTTCCCCGACAGGATTTTCCTTTAGCTCCAACTGTCATGAATCATCCCATTTCCCCACTTCAAAAAGGTAGACGGCAAAATGTACCCTTCCCGCCAAGGGTGCCCAGACCTCCCAGTTCTCAGCCAGGCACCCACCCACTGCCGATGAGTCGACTTGACTCATAGGAACCCTGGATCAGTTTCCTTCATGGGAGCAGACAGCCCCCTCATTGGTCTCGCTCATAGCGGCTGGTGGGTCTGAACCGCCAACCTCATGGTTAGCAATCTGATGTTTACCCAACAGCCCACCAGGTCTCCCTCAGACACGCACCGTCAACTTCTGTTTCTGCATTCTTGTGTTTCCCTCTAAAACTTCTCCAGGCAAACAGGCCAATGTTCTTTTGTTTCATACTCCCCCCGGGGATTGGCAACCGTTGAGCCAGAGCCCGAATCTGAATCCTTATCTATTTGGTTTATTTCATAAACCAGGTTCTAGCTGCAGACGGCCACATCCACACACAGCCTTCCACCGCTTTCACGGAGAGCTGAGCATGGGTGACACGGACAGGCAAGCCCGAAGATGTTTACTATCTGATCCGTCGCCTCGAGAAAGTTTCACAAGCCCTGGACCAAAGGAAGGGACCCCACGCGATACTCGGCAGTTTGATTTTCCACGTAACCATCTCCCCCAGGGAGTGTGCCACCCCAGGCCATAAAGACGCCCTCGCCCTTTGGCATGGCTGTGCGGTACCCACCTGGGTACAGGTGCTTTAAAGTGAACTGGATCCCATGCTGTGCCCATCTGAGGGGTTTCCATGGCTTCCTGGTAGCTCTCATGCTTCTAGACAGACCCCGCAGCCCCAGTGAGGACAGGCGTGCTTGGAGGGGAAATCGCCAGCCTTGGCTTTGCTGGCTCTGACTAGGAGCCCTGGTGGTATAGTGGTTACACACTGGGCTGCTAACTGCAAGGTCCGTGGGTCAAAACTGGCAGCCTGCTCCTCCGGAGAAAGATGGGGGAGGAAGGAGGTAAAGGGGAGGGGAGCAGATACCAAGGAGGAATTTAAGAAGAAAGAAACTGACTGTGGTAGCAATTGTACAATACTGCTCGATGGAGCTCCCGATAAGTTGAGGAAAGAAAAAACAACGAGCTAACAGTCTTGGGAACCCACAGGGGCAGCCCTGCCCTGCCCTGTCGGGTCCCTATGAGTCAGAATCAACTCAAAGGGAGGGAGTTTGGGGTTCTTGTTTGTTTGTTTGGGGGGTGGTCTCAGAGCATGAGCCTCAGGGAGGTGGGGGCGTCCGTGAGTAAATCCCCTAAAACTGAGTGGAGGCGATGCTCTTCACGGGTACCCAGAGCACTCGTGATGGCTGCCCCTGAGAGCGGGCTCCGGGGGGGTCCCAGGCCTGCGGCAGGCAGGACACTCACCAAGGTCGTCAGCGAGCCTCCGGCCATCCTCGGTGGACACCACACGCTCGTCTTCGAGGTCACACTTGTTCCCCACGAGGATGACCTGGGCATTGTCCCAGGAGTAAGTCTTGATCTGGGTGGACCTGTGGGGTTTGGGGGCTGTGAGCAAGGGCCGGAGGGCAGAGGGCAAAGATCAGGGCATCGGCGGCTTCACAGGACTCACCAGTCCTGCACGGCGGCAAAGGACTCCTGGTTGGCGACATCGTACATGAGCAGGAAGCCCATGGCTCCGCGGTAGTAGGCAGTGGTGATGGTGCGGTAGCGCTCCTGGCCAGCCGTGTCCTGGACAGACAGCAAGGTCAGGGGGCTGGCGTCCACCCAATTCCCCACCCCACCGGCAGGGCCCTATGCCTGCCCACACAAACACAGTCTGATGGGGAGGCACAGGCCTGTCCTTGTAGCCCTAGTCTCATGGGGGAAGACACCGGCCTATCCACACAAACCCCATCAGATGAAGGAGGCATGGGCCAACCCACAGGACCCAGTCTGATGGAGGAGGCATGGATTCATTCTCAAGGGAATACTGCTTGCCACCACCACCCCCACCCCAATCTAATGGGGGAGATACAGCTCTACCCTTCAGGTGGACACCCTGAAGTTGGTGTTTCCTTGACAATCCTCACCAGCAGTCAAACACGAGGGGGTAGCTCTGGGTCACCCCATCCCCTACCTCTGGAGCCTTACCCCATGGACCCCATTTGACAACCAAAGGAGACAGGTAAGGACTTCCCAGGAGACACCCTAACCTCTCTTGGGCTGACAGACTCCCTCCCCCTGGCCATAGGCCCCAGCTCACCCAGATCTGCAGCTTGATCCTCTTGTCATGACGGTAGACGGTCTTGACCTTGAAGTCGATGCCCACGGTGCTGACGAAGGCGGGCGTGAAGGAGTCATCGGCGTAGCGGAACAGGAAGGACGTCTTGCCCACGCTGCTGTTCCCGATCAGCAGCAGCTTGAACATGTAGTCGAAGTTCTGGTCTGCCGCGTCCCGAGGGCCTGCGGGCGGCTCTGCGGCTGACGCCATCTTGGCAGGGAGCCTCCCACAGGGGAGCCCTAATGTCTCAGGTGAGGGGACACCGGTGCCCTGCCAGAGAATAAACCCCCGCCCATAGTGGCTTCAATCCATGCTTGTGGGAGCAGAAGGCACCAGATCCAAAGATGCCCTGCATCGGGTAAATCAACTGCACGTTGACATCTTTAAAGTGTGGCAAAGCCAGGACGTCGCCCTAAGGACCAAGGTGCACCTGACCAGAGCCAGGGTATTTTCAATCACCTCATCTGTGCGTGGAAGGTGGACACTGAATAAGAAAGACTGACGAACTGATGCCGCTGAATGACAGTGCCGATGAGGAATATGAAAAGTACCGAGAACTGCCCACAGAACTGACAGATTTTTTCTTGGAAGTACAACCCACCTGCTCCTTAGAAGCGAGGATGGCGAGACTTCGTCGCACACTCTCTGGACATACAACCAGGAGAGATCAGTCCCTGGAGGACTTCGTGCTTGGTAAAAGAGAAGGGCAGCCATGAGAAGATGGACGGACACCATGGCTGCAGCAGTGGGCTCAGACATAAGGACAAGGGCGGCCCAGGCCCAGGGGGGGCTTCCTTCAGAACCAACTCGACCGCATCTAACAAGCACAATGGCTTCAAGGCATACACCGGGCCTGGGTTCAAATCCCAACTCTGCCACTTGGAGAAGGTGCTCTGGTGGCATCGTAGGGTACTCACTGAGCTGTAACCGCAGGGTCAGAGGTTGGAGCCCACTCAACTGCCCCTTGGCAGAAAGGCAAGGCTTTCCACTCCAGGTAAAGAGTTAGTCTCCGAAACCCACAGGGGCAGTTCTACTCTGTCTTACGGGGCTGCTGTGAGTCGGAATCGGCTCGATGGCAGTGTGTGAGCTGTCACTTGGGGGCCAGGTGGCTCTGGGCACATCCCGTGGTCTATCCCTCATGTTCCCACCTGGAGAATGAGGACGTCTGACGGTGTCCCTAGTTGGAGAGGGTAGCTGGTTATAACTGGGTTTATTGATTCCCCGTTTGCTGAGTACCTATTCTGTGCTGGCTGGTGCTTCTGCACTGAGTTCAGGGTGGTCACATGCAGGGGGAGGGTCTTAGGACACAATGGCAGAAGGCAGTGTCTGGTAATCAGTAGAATTCAGGAACCATGACTGCTGTTTAATCGGCACGGCCTCCCGGTGAAGCCAGGTCTTTGTAACAAGGGGGGAAACTGAGCCCCAAAGACAAGAAGGCTGGCATCTGGAAATGGAGGGGGGAGGGGCAAAGCCAGGGCTTGAATACAGGTATTGGTGGGGGAATGGGCACCTCTTCCGACCACAGGGGAAGGTGCACCTGTGGACTTTGCCCGGGGCTGAGTAGTTGGCCCATGGCCCAGGTGTGGGGGGGGAAGCTGTCAGCTGGATGGAGGCCCTCCAGGCCCAGTGTTGAGTTTAGTAGGTGTCAGCCATGGGGTGCCTGCTCTGCCTCCCTTCAAACTGCAATTAACTCCTTTCCTAACCCCAACGAGTCGCGGGTTTTCAGGAATCTGCCCAGGTTGAAAGCCGGGCTCTGCTCTCAGGAGGGCACTGCCATTGTCTGTTTACCAAAGGGGCCGGTCTATCTCCCTCTAAGTAGCGCTGACTCACCCCTACCCCAGCCCCTGGGAGAGGCCAGGGAGCCATCTCCCACCCTGGGTCCTTCCTTGGCATCTGTCCTGGGGCTGGGCTGACCGACTGACAGCTGCCCACACACCGATGTTGCTTCCTCTAGGTCTCCAGCACCCCCTCGGGCTCCCATGGGCCTCCGTTTCCCCGTTTGTCTAGGGCTGCTTCCTGGGCACTGGGAGGTTCCAGGACGTGACTGTGAGTAGCGGCGACACAGGAACCCCCACCCCACCTACACACACCCCTGGAGGATCCGGCCGCCCAGGTCCCTGCCGGGCCCTCGCCCCACCCCGCGTTCCGGGAGAACGAGTTTGCAGGGAAGCAAAGGGGCAGGGACTCTTTCTCCGTGCTGGGCCCCCACCCCTGCCCTAGCCCACCTGTGGGCCCCAGCTGTCAGTCATGCCACACATCAGGCCCTAGGCAAGGGTCCCCAGGTGGATGGGCCCTGCCCCCGTCAACGGACGCCTCGCGAGCGAAAGGACGCTTGCCCCAGCGCCATATGGTCCCCCCGCCCG